TTCCAGGGTTTGATTCCGGTCAAGGGCATGGACCTCAATTGCAGGCTCCTTCCTGGCCCGGGCCCTGGTTGGGGCTCATGCAGGAGGCAACTAATCGGTGTGTTTCTCTCACATCGCTGTTTCTCTGTCCTTTCCTCTCTCTTCCACTCTCCCTAACACACAGTGCAAAAATATCTTCAAATGAGAATGAACCAAAAATAAGAAGAAGAAGAAGGCCATATACCTGGCTGGAGCTTGTGCAGGAGGCAACCAATGTTTGTCCTTCCCTCTCCCTAAAAATCAAATTGAAAAATATCCTCAGGCAAGGATTAACTAAAAATTTGCTTGAAAAGTTACCAAGTTTTGATTCAAAGAACCTTCCCATTATAGCCTTGGTCTCCCTGCTGTGGTGTGACTGTTTTGTCCACTAGCGCAGGCCCCACCTTAGGACAAGGACTGGCACCTACAGGCTGTCACAAGTGCCTCCAGTGGTGGCTTCAGCAGCCATACTAACAGTGGACAGACAGATCAGCATGGCTCCCAGCAAGGATGACGTGCAGATTCATGAAGCATCCCCAATTTTTTGATGAACAGCAACTAGACTTTAGGGGGTGATGACTTTGTAGTGTGTATGGATGTTGAAATGTTTTACACCAGAAATAAAAGCCCACACGGATGTGACCAAACCAGGTTAGCCAGGGCCCCTGTGCAGAAAGCAACATTTGACAGGTGTGAACTAGCTCTAAGTAACCTGGTGAAGAACCCAGGCCACGCTTTTCCCAGCTACAGACTATGTTCGGAGCAGGGAGGGAAAGAAGGCTGGGTGACCCGGGGCACATGATTAACCTCTCTGAGCCTCAGGGAAATGGGTGAGGTCAGCAATCCCTGGTGGATGACTGTTGTGAGGGTAAAATTAGTGACAGACCCCAGCAAGTGCCTCGCACACAGTAGGTGCTCATTAAATTGCATCACTGGCTCATTCATGATGTCATTCATGTTCAAGGTCTCAAATGGTACCTGATTGTCCTGATCGGGGTCTCGGTGGCCCTGGTCCTGCTGCTCTCGCTCTTCCTCTTCCTCCTCCGACACCAGCGGCGCCAGAGCAAAGGCAGGACGTCAGGTGAGTAGGGATGACCTGGGTCACAGAAGGGGGGTGGGGGGCTTAGGGCACCAGCCAGCGTGAAACCAAATAGATGGGGAAGGTCAATGGTAAAACCTCCTACAGCGTTTCCCAGGGGAGATTAAACGTGGATGTGTAAGTAAGTGTAAGTAGTCTCCAGTATTCTTTTGGCTTTTTCAACCTTATCAGGTGTGTGGGAACATGTGCAAATTTTGTTTTTTATCACTTAGAATGGCTTTCTCTTCAATTTTTTTAAATATATTTTATTGATTCTTTACAGAGAGGAAGGGAGAGGGATAGAGAGTTAGGAACATCGATGAGAGAGAAACATCCATCAGCTGCCTCCTGCATGCCCCCCACTGGGGATGTGCCCGCAACCAAAGTACATGCCCTTGACCGGAATCGAACCTGGGAACCTTCAGTCCTCAGGCCGACGTTCTATCCACTGAGCCACACCAGTCAGGGGCTTTCTCTTCATTGTGAGGGGTTGTGACCTTCTCAGTTGTTAGGTCCTCTGCTCATCTTAGTGCAGCCCCAGGGGAGGGCTCTTGGGGGGCTGGAGGGTGACCCCACCTTCCTGCAGTGGCTGCATCAGAGCAAGAAGACAGAGGCCTGCAGAAGAGGTGCGCCCTCTCCCTAAGAACACGAGCCCCACCCGTCCGGTCTGAGGCCCCCGAGGCCCCCTAATGCTCTGTCTCTTCCCCCAGCTCCCGCCCAGCT